TCCTCCACATGTCTTGTCCTTATGCCAGAGGTGAGGAAAGGGGCTTAACAGGCAACCCAGTTTGGGGTTAATTAACAAGCCACAAGTAGACTAGGTGTGAGCTCAGAAAGAATGCCCTTGATTGGTCAGACAGGCCAATATCTTTTAGGGAAATCAGGAAGTTTGGGAAAATAGATCAGAACACACCTGTTAGCAAATGGGAAACTGGTTTAAGTGATAAAAAAAAAAAAATACCCATTTTTATTGTTATCAGTGGTTTCTCTATCATCCTCTCTACTCACAACCACCCCATTGATACCACCACCACCAAGCCAAAGAGTAATCTTGCTCCTCTATTGTTATTTTCACTTGGAATAGGCTGAATTTGATACTAGGATATAGCCATCCAGCTGGGTCCAAAGGTCTCAGAAGCCAGATATAGAAAGGTTACTTCCAATTAACATCTGCAATTTCCAGATGTCCTAACAAAAATGGTGAGGCAGTGCCCTGGCTGGTTTGACTCAGAGGTTAGAGTGCAGGCCCGTTAACCAAAGAGTCTCAGGTTCAATTCCAGTCAAAGGCTCATACCTCGGTCATGGTTCCATCACTGGCCCTGGTCAGGGTTGTGTGGGAGGCAACCAACTGATGTATCTCTCTTACATCGATGTTTCTCTCTTTCTCTCTCCTCCCCTTCTACCCTGTCTGAAAATCAATGGAAAAATATCCTTGGGTGAGAATTGAAAAAAAAAAAAAATGGTGGGGCAGCAAACAGCCAGAGAACCACAGTTGAATTCAATGTTTTGAAGAGCTAAGCAAAGCATTCAAGCTCTTCTTAACCTGATCTCCTGATCTGGGACATGTAAAGGTTTAACTACACCCTGGCTTGGGGTATAAATAGGTGAACATATTCTGCTAGGGCAAGACTTCAACAGACTACTCCTCTTACCTGGAGGTATGAAGGGGATACTGCCTCCTTCTTGAAGCTGAGCAGTGCCCAGAATTTATGAACTTCTTCAGACTATGATGGGAACCTGGGGTCTGAGTCAGGCATTAGCATCAGGAAAAGGTGGGCAATTTCCCTCTCTCCAGCTTCCTTTCTATTGCTGATCATACTGCTCAGAAGTGAATTATGATTTAATCCCTTCTGCTGCTAAGGGTGCTACAAAATGTTAGTTGCAAAGTAGTTATAAAAAATATTTAAGTAAAAGAGAAAGAAAAAGAGAAGGGAAAGGAAAGAAAAAAAAAAGAAAAGAAAAGGAAAGAAAATGTAACCAATGAAACAGCTCATCGTTCCCACCAGAAAAAGATGAGTTGGCATGGCACACTCCTTGGCTGTGCACAGAATGAGATGCAGTTGATTAACTGAGATCATTTCTGCATATAATGAATGTGGCACGTGCTTTTAAAAGCATGCAGTGTTGGAAGTAGGTGCGTCAGGGAGAAAGGACATTCCAGTCACATGCTTCTGGATTTCTTTATCTTTGGGTCATCAGACTAGGGCCAGGTTGCCACAAAGTGCTCAGTGATCCATGGGAAATGAATCATGTCTTCATTCCAGGACTTAATATATGCATTACATCACTATTAGAAGCAAGTGACTCTGTGGTTGTTGGCTCCAATATGGATTAAGGTCAAAAGTGGCCCTGGAGACCAAATTCCCTAGTGAGGGTTTGCCACCCAACTCTCTGTGTCCTTTGCTACTGAATTCTTTCTTCTCCTAGCAACGACGACTAAACACCAAGCTTTCCCAGGCTGGTATTATGTCTACATAAGGCTTGTTCTTCTGGTAGCAAAGAACTGGAGAAAGACAAGTGAGAATCTGTTATTGCGGGTTAAATTGTGTTACACCCCACTTGTAGTGAGGGTCCAGTTTCTTTTTATTATGCTCCAATTTGGTTGTAATCACTATTACTTGAAATAAACGGGCAATTGACAGGGGCTGAGATAGCAGGGATGCTGAAGTGGTTTCTATTGTGGCAGTACTTCTGGTTTAACAGGAGTCGACCTGGATTCTGGTACTCCTCTTCGTCGCGTTGGAAACTCGGCACTCCCATCATTCATGCATTACATGTGAAGCACTGTAGCATGAAAGTCACTTAGAAAGCGATGGAAAACACTCTCTACACAAGAGGCTCATGAACAATAAATCCTCAGGTAGGGGACTTTTTTGTTTGTTTAGTTAAATGTTCTGGAGAGTCAAAGTTCATTCCTTTTAACCCCCAAAATTTGTTTTTATTACCATTTGTAATACAAATTATTTCTAAAATGTTTGATAGGCAAAACTTGTCTTCTGGGTATACTTTAGTTCTTTCGGTGTGATGCTCGGGGTCATCACGTGGAATCTAACTATCCTGTCCTCTCATACAATCATGCTTTCGGGGTCCAGAAGCGTACAGGGCTGTTTTGTACTTAACGCCCGCCCCAAACACTGCTTCCTGAGCTCTGCAGTCTGCTTCAACGTCTTTGTCTTCTCTATTACACCTTTTCCCTCCTGTACCTAAGTTTCCTCTCCAAGTCTGTTTCTCACCCTTAAACTTAATCTGCCACTGCCTTGCAAACCAGACATCAAACATCTAGAATTACATGTGAAGTAGGAATGAATAGGTTCTAAGTGGGTGTTTTATGGGTAGATGTACAACCTTTCCTTTATGTTTGCTTCATAACATTTATGTCAACTGTCAGAAGCCTTATTCGCTTAGTTCCTAGTTCTGTCATTTTTGAATGGGTGCAGCAGAGCTTCTAGATTTTTCCAGTTCTGTGTCAATGACTCCTTGTCAAACCACGTTTGACCAAGTGAAGCTGACAGATGGTTGAGCCCAAGGTGGAGGAGATGGCTGCAGGTTGCAATGGCATGACGTGGCCTGATGCTGAACTCAGTAAATGAACTATGAAGAACACAAGCTCCTTTTGCAGTCCTTTCCAATAACATAAACTCGGCACAACGTCAAGCTGCTGAAGACACCTTCGAGATGCTAAATTACAGACTGAGTGTCCGAGATGGCTGACTGTCGGGATTCCCAGTCTATGGCAACAGAAACCATGGCTTTGCCTTTCCTGGGATTTCATTATTTATGGCCTTAGAATAAGGAAGATAAAGCAAGTCGAATAGTTCCCTCCTTCTAAAAGTAGTTTCCGATCAGAAAAGGGTTTCATTGCTCTCCTTGGCCTTCCCTCCTTCACTGGGCACTGGACTTCGCAGACTGTCCAAAGCAAAGCCTAAAAAGGGCCAACTCCTTTACCACAAGGCCACACTATGCCTGTGTGGGGTGAGGGCAGCGACGGTACTCACCAATACAAGGGGCAGCTAGAGGGGATTAACAGCAGGGGCTGTGGAGTTGCTAGACCTGGCTTTAAATACTGGCTTCCCATTTATTAGGGTGTGACCTTGGGCACAGCATTTAACTTTCTAAATCTGATTCCTGAGCAATGAAATGGGGGATAATGTTCGTGTTATGAGAATGAAATAAGACAATGTGAAAAGCAACCAGAATAGTGCCTGGCCCAGAGAAAGAGCTCACCAAATGGTAGCTATTATTAACAAAAATTATTTTAACCTGGAGACTTTAATATTTAACAAATACAGATACTCAGCAAGCTAGTTATTAATTTCAAGCAGTCTGTTTTCTTCTTTTCTGTGACATTTTCTTCTCTTGTTAAGACTGGCAGCCTAACTTTCTGCTGGGTATATCTACGTTTGGTGCCTTGTTAAGGCCAAGAAACATTCCAGACAAGCTGCTATTTCGCCCTTTTATGAGTGTAAAGGAAATGGGGCCACCTGTGAGCTGGACCGAGCAAAGATCAATGAAACAAAGAGTTGTAGCTTTCCGAGCAAAGACAACAGAATGAGAAAGGGTGGGGGCAGTGGGATGTGGTGGTGAGATCCTGGCACCAGGAAGTAGGGAAGAAAACCTCCAGACACATTGAGGTTGATTAAAACCCTGGGACTGCCAAGTGCCACGGTGCTTGGCAATCCCACCCCACCGGGCATAAGTGTCCTTGGCAGCTGGGGAGAGAGAAAGTAGGGCCTAGTGATGGCTGCAGGAGACAGAGAGTCTGCTGTCCCGGTGTTAGCGTGGCTCAGGGGTGACCCTGAGTGACTGGCCTAGCTCCCTACCTGAGACAATTCCTCGAAAGTTCACACAGCCCCAGCTGACTAAAGAGGTCTGATAGACACAGATTTGTTAAAAGGAAATTTAGAGCAGGGTTCATAAACTGCAGCTCCCCTAGACACACCTGCTGATGAGTTTTAGGATGGATTTGTAAAAGCTGAATTTTAATGCCTTTAGGCAGGACTTGCAATTTCTAATTCACACAATATCTACTGTCTTGAGTTTCACTGTTTCCATTTTCTTACTCTGATGCTTGTTGTGTGTTTCTGGTGTGTTCTCAGTTCCAGATGATACCGTTTTACCTGGCAGGCCCTGGAGGGCAGGAACTGCCTCGGCCCTAGGGTGCTTGGACTTGGTTTCAATGCAGCCTCTGGTCTTAATATATCACACATTGGACTGGAATTATTTCATTTACAACTTAATCCTATCTCTTTGGCAATTACATCAAATTGTATTTCTAAGGTTCCACAAAAATGAATTTGCTGCCCTAACTGTAATTTCCTGTATGATTTTTTTTTTTATAGAAAATATGGCAAAAATTGAAGTTTGACCTACCCCCTGGTTAATTCAAATTGTAAAGCTTTATTATTTGAAAACATCATTCAGGACTAAGTATTCTTTAGGTTATAAACTACTTCGCTCAGAAAATTTAATCTAGGCATGGATCATTTTACTTTGAGAAGACACATCGACATATTGCTAAATAACAGTGACTTTCAGTCTGTCCTTCTGTCCCTTCGCAGAGCTCTCCTAAGGCGCTCCGAGAGCCCGGAGTGGATGAGACTCCCACTCTAATGACATCTAAAACACCACCCCCCCAGCGTCACCACAGTTAAGAATGCAGACTATCATGAATATTACACCTAGCGGGGCCCTTTGTGCCCAACTCTGAGAGACAAATGGTGCTTCCAGTAATAGTTTATTGATTTCCAAATGTACAGGGGTGCTGAGTCCAAACATCCTGGGATAGTGGTAAATCTCTCTTACAAAATAATTTACAGTATGAAGATGATATACTGAAACATTAACTCAAACGTGTAGTTCCCTTGAAAGATGGAGTGTTCCCTTGTCTAATGTAAAGGGTTAGGGAAGATGACTGAGGAGGGACTGACTGCACAGGAAAACAGGCAGAGGACAATGGGTGCAGGTTCTCCCCTTCCATGCAGTGTGCCTGTCACTGTTAAAGACTAGTCAGGCTTAATTCCCGTTAAGTATAAATCTATTGTCCCCTCAAGGTTGTATCAGGCCCAGCAAGGGCTCTGTGGTACTTTTTTTACATCAGTATACTTACAACTGTCTTAATTTATTCCCGTTTTCTTGCTCTGATGCTTGTTCTGCTGTTTCTGGTGTGTTCTCAGTTTCAAATGCTGTTCTACCTGGCAGGCCCCAGAGGGCAGGAACTGCCTGGGCCTTATGTTGCTTGGAACAGGCTGCGGTAGGGGCCTCAGAAACACTGCTGGGTGAAGGCAATGAGATGAGAAGTCTCCCTTATAGGCCTTCTTTTTCTCTTAGGGCTGGGCTAAGTCCATTCATAATGAGATTTGTTTTTCAAACAGAAGATTCCAGATGTGCTAGGCACAGGGGAAACTTGGCAACTGATTTTCTTATCAAAAAGCATTTACTGAACAGCCATTATGTGAGTGTGGAGTTTCAGGTATTAACAGGAGAATATTTTCTAGGTGGGGAAGAGGACCCGTAGGCCCTGCCACTACTACAGGTGGTGAATTCTGCAGCTATGCCCTCAGGCCTGACTGGAGTGGTCAGACTCTCAGGTCATCGAATGGCTGGGTATGCAAATTTCCCATGTCATTAGACAACCTGGAGTAGGGCTGGGGTGCAATTTCCTTCAGGGCTGTCACCTTGGCTCAGTGCATTAGGGTCTGACAACCTTTGCCAAGGAGTTGCTTTTCGTGTTAACATCTTCTAAGCTCCTAAGCTCCAATTACCTGATGACACTTGTAATCAGGGCTGACAAAAACCTTTGCAGTGGCATGCAAAATAATGAGGGGCCTGCTTTGAATTTCCCTTAGTTCTTAAATTGTGTGTGTGTGTGCATGTACATACATACACATACACATACACATCATTCATGTACACACATATATCAGGTATCAGTAAGAGAGTCTAGGTTCACTGGACTCTAAATTGCCACATTCTCACAGTGCACAGATCTGGCTAACTTTACTAAAATTGAAGATGTCCTTTTCTGCAGCAGTACACCAGCAGACATTTTCAAATAAAGTTAGAGAGCAGACACCTTTCCCCTTTCTACTGCTGAGATACTCTTGAAGGCCCAGAAATACTTTGTTCATGGGGGATGGCACTGAAAGAAACGGCTCCCGACTCCTGGGGGCATGCTTAAATCAGCAATGTGTACTCGATGCATCTGCTAGAATGGAGGAATAAGGCTACTTTGATGTCATTTCTGAGCAAACTACAGCCATTAAATGTAATTTTGAAAAAGAATTCACAAGGTGAGATGGTCAGACTGCAGTGGGGGAACCTGCCGCCATGTTCTCCCTCTGTACTTAGATGTACCATGGGCCACAGAGTTAGGGGAACTGGTCTCAGAATCTGGCTCTGATATTTCCTAGCTGTGTAAGTCAAGGCGAGTGACTCTCCTACTCCAAATCTGTTTTGTCATCTGAGAATGGGGGCCTAGTACAGGGCCTGGTTCATAGTTAGTCCCCAATATAGGTCATTTCCCTTCCTGGTTGTCAGAGCTAAGACTCCAAGCATTTCTTGGAATTGCCCTGAATTTATTAACATCAAATAAAAAAAAGCAAACCCCTTCTTGGTCTCCAGACACCCAATATTTGTAAGGCAGCCAGAGACTGCTGTTAGGACCCAGTTCATTCTGAAGACACTCATAGCTGCCTCCCTTGATGACTTCTCCCTAGGGATTTCTGCAGTGCCTGCAGCCAGACAAGACACGACTTTGAGCACAACTTGCACTGACCTGGCAGGAGGGAAGCCTCATCTTGCTGGGGCTTAAGGCTGAGCAGCAGCTGCCGCTCTGGGGGAAGCTGGTGCCACTGCAGGAAGCATCCTAGTTCTTACATTGACAAATGCTGCCGGCAGGAACTTGGGAGCCTGGGCAGAGCTGCTGCACTGTGTTTAATGCTTCCCTGGTTAAAGTTTTATCAGATGCTGAAGACAGCAGGAACCTATAAAGCAAGTCTAAAATCCTTTCTGAGTAAAAGCAAAAGTGCTTTCCTTGAGGACGACAGGGATATGATAATTTATTGAAATAGGCTGGCATTCGTTTTACTATTTCCATTCATATCCACTGAATAAATGCTTGGGTTTCCCAAACACTGATTTAAAATAATAACATATGATCAGGTATGGAGAAGCCAATGATCTGTCGATTGCTAAGATAAGGCTAGTTATTTAGAGATTAAAAAATAATTATATGGAAAAGATAACACAAGCTTCCAAATCCTAGTCTTTTTAATCTTCTGGTTTTTAAACTCTTTAAGAGAGGCCATTGGTTCTTCAGAGGTGTTTTGCTGAAAGTGGTTGGGGCTGTGGTCAATGGCCATGCCAGACCCTCCAGCCTTTGTAGGAGGACAGGTAAAGCACCAGAACTGGCTTAGCCATTTGTTGGCTACTAGTTTGAGAGAAAAATACCTTTTTTTCCCCCTTAACAGCTCAAACTCCTCTCAAATTTATAAATAAACCCTTATACATGTAGTGACCGAGGATAACCCTAACTCAGAAGTATAAATGCCTGGCAGCTTCCTGGCATCGAAGGAATGATCATTTAATAGCATGCACAGAACTGAACAATTATATAAATAGGATTCCTGTAGTATTGTCTCTGCCTCAAAGACATACTGCAAACACATGAATCAGCTGGCCCTATAGCTCTGTGATAGGTAGAAGGGTCACAGGCAGGCAGGCAGGCAGGCAGGCAGGCAGAGATGGAGCTCCCCCAGGGCTGGTTCCTTTGGTTCTGTCTCAGTCAGAGGCACTAGAAGTGTAGGCCTCGAGTCAGCTGCAGCCCCAAGGACGTTTGGATACAGTTCCAATTGTACTTCTCAGAAATGAACACCAAAGTACCACTAAAGGCAGAGAAGAAGAAACAAATATCCTATTGCAAATAAGAATTACCTGTGAAGTCTCCCATTTTACCTTAACCACGTTGATGTGTATGAACATTCTATTTCATAATATAACGGTTTGTTTTATCCAAAAATAAGGTCATCCCCTGATTCCAAACTACTTGTTAAGTAAAACTGATGTTTCAGAAGGTGCAGTCCTTCAGCTTGCAGTTTGGATGCCCTAGGACATCACAGCTCACTGGAGCATAAAGAACTTGGCTGTAAGGAAATGTGACTGAGGAGGAGGCAAGGCCAGGGTCCAGCCATGATGCATCTCTGCCTCCTGTTGCTGAGGAGGAGAGCGCCGGGGGGTGATCTAAAGGGGAGTCGGAGGGGCGTCCACGGCAAGACAGGCTCCAGCTGGAGTGCAGGAGGGTGCATCTGCCAAAAGATGGAGCTCGGAGCTCCACTCAGCACATCACAAGGGACAAGGACGCTCCCCACATTGCATTTAAGCCAAATTAGGCTAAGCTGAGGGAGGGGAACTAAAACCTACACTGAAAATGCCCATTTGGTAACACCCCAGCCTTTCATGTGACAAGATTCATAAAACCTGAAGAATTCACCCAATCATTCGGTGTCATCAGATCCTTTAGTGACTGTTTTGGAAACTCAGGCAATTTGCGTTCAGAAATACTGATTTCAACTTTTAATCAGATCTCTTTGGTCCTCTTTTTTTTTTTAAACATTATTTCCTTTCTAAGTCTTCAATAATTTTTTATCCATTTTCACAGCACTGAATTATGAATCCTAAAATCCTGGATAACCTCATATACTAAAAATATCTCTATATATTTCTACATTTTAACTCTTTCTCCAACCCTGTTTTCAAGCCATCCACCTTATTTCATGAAACTGCATTTTCCCAAACGTACTGGACTTTTAGAGACTATCTACGTGGGTGCAGCCTACTCTGCCCTCATTTATTTCATGCTTCAATTTGAATAAAGTGGGGCTTTATTAGCAGGTAGGGAAAGCTTTTCTGACTGCCCTTCAAGATTATTCCAGATCCTTCCTAATGAGGAGACACGATTTGGCTATATAATATTAATATTACAGGGGCTGGCTTTCCTGAGTAAGTTCAAAGCAGTCGTTGAGGGATTACCTGAAGGACCCTTCTTAATTGCTCCTGGTTGGTCGAAGGGGCACTTTTCCTTGACCCACCACACAAAGAATGAGAAGCACACAGTCTGTAAGCATGGGGCTGCTCATCCCTGGAGAGAGATGTGCCTGCTGTGGGTCTGGGGATGCAGCCGGTGGAAGGACATGTGTTACTGGGCAGCATTCACAGAGATCAGAAGCCGTCACGTACACGCTGTCACATACACACAGGGGAGGAATGATTTCCACTGGAGATGGCAGGCCTTCATGTGTCCTCTTCTTCACTGGCACCACTACAAAGGAAAGGAGAACCAGGTGAGTTAAGACATCACAAGAAGGGAGGCAACCTAACCTCCTGGTTGAAGGCACGGGCTCCGTGGTCAGACATCCGGATTCCCGTCCTCACCCTGCCACTTCTGGGCACTGCACTGTGGCCGTGCACAGTTACTTACCCTCTCTAAGCTCTGATTTATCTTCTACAGAGATAATGATAATAAAACCTACTTTCCTGGGTTATTGGAGGATTAAGTAAGATAACATAGTTGAACCTCAGTTCTCAAATTCAATTCATTCCAGAAGGTTGTTCAAGAAGCAATTTGTTTCAAAACCTAATCATTTTTTTCCATTAATGTCAATTGAATTAAGTCATTCCAGACCCCCAAGTGATTCCCTGTTTTAACCGTTCTTATATACAGTACATGTGGAAGGTACTATTTAATCTGTAAACAAGCACTTTTCTCGAGTTTATCAAGCCACTCCCTACTAGCCTTAAATGGATCACTTCCAGCACTCATTCTGGGGTGTCTTTCAGGAGGTCAGCATGCGGCACTTCGCTTTTTCATGTATCACTGCTTCCAAAGTGCTATCACCAGCTAACTGCTTGTCACTGGTTAACTGCTTTCTGTTTATCCAAATCAACAACAATTTGTCTACCTTTTCAATTGCCTGTGATCAGTTTCTTTTGCAACATTAGCACTCTTGATGGCCTCTTTATGTTTTAAAATTGTGCTAATTGTCCATTTCACCAGCAACAAAAGCAAAAAACAAACAAACAAACAAAAAAACGCACAAGAATATTGACAGCACTATTTTCTGAGATGTGAACAATGCAAGGTTTAGTGATAAGGGATTCACATTCTGACCTTTGTTTGTGGCCTGGGAGACTCTTTCTGTCATGCTGAGGTATCAGCATGAAAGGGTTATCAAGTCCAGAATTGAAGTTGGAGACATTTTTTTTGAACGACTTGGTCAAGAACCGAGTTGTATGAGATGGGAGACATTGGAGAACTGTAGTCTGACTATACATGCAAAATACACAAAACCTAGAACACAGTAAGTGAAGAGCTAAATGAGCAGGTGTGGGTCATAATGTTTTTTTAAAACTTACTTGACAAAATAAATGTCTGGTGAAAAACAGGAGTTTGACTTCCCCTAAGCCTTAAGCTATCTTGTGTCAGGAGAGGAAAAAAAAGGGAGCTATCATTCTATACTCCTCACTTGGAATAATGCCAAGGTTTCCATTCATGCCACGGGGATGTCACTGGATTTAAATGTCTCCTCTCCAGAGAAGGTACTATATCTAAGTAGGAATCCCTGATTATTTTTCATCTCCATCTTATTTTTTAATATCCCTTATCATATCCTATAAAGTGTTTGCTATTTACTCTCCTCTCTACTGCCCATAGAGCATAAAAGAGTAGCAATACAATCTATTTTGTTAACTACTGTTAACCTAGCACTAATATTATGCTAGGCACATGAAAGTGTTCAAAATGTTTAAAAGTGAGTGCGAAGTGAAGACAATAGGAAGGAAGGAAGGAGGGAGAGAGGGAGTTATAAGGAACGGTCAGTTATTACTGTCCTGACCAGAGGATCCTAGATGTCACTGATACTTCAGTGACCAAAAAAACGAGCTGTGAGTCCCACAGGATGGCTGGGAGCTCAGCTGCTCGAGGTCAGAGCCTCCCTGGTTTGGTTCTGGGAGAGAACATTGTTGAATAAGAACTGGGGCAAGAAGGCAGAGCCAGAAAAACAAAGAGGACAGGAGCAAGCACACTAAAAAGGGCAGCCCTGGCCGGTTTGGCTTAGCAGTTAGAGTGTCGTCCTGCAGACCAAAGGGTTGAGGGTTTGATTCTCAGTCAAGGCACGTACCTGGATTGCAGATACGATCCCCAGCCCCTATTGGTGTTGTAACCAATCCATGTGTCTCTCGCACATCAATACCGTCCCCCCACCCCCCACTCTATCTAAAAATCAATGGAAAAATATCCTCTGGTGCAGATTTTTAAAAAATGGTCAAAGGAGCCTTAGCCAGTGTTGGATCAGTTGGTTGAGTGTTGTCCTGTGCATCAAAAGGTCACCAGTTTGATTCCCAGTCAGGGCACATGTGCAAGTTATGGGTTTGGTCCCCATTCGGGGCAGGTCATGTATGGGAGGCAACCAATCAATGTTGATCTCACATCAATGTTTTTTCTCTCTTTTGGTCCCTCTACCTTCTTCTCTCTAAAATCAATACAAACATTTTTTTTTTTAAAGGGCAAAAGTAGCAAACTTGCCCAGTTTCTACTCTTGCACTTCTAGAGGCCACAGTCAAAATCATAACAAGAGCCAACTTGATCGGGTGCTCACTGTGAGCCGGGGCACTGAGCCAAGGGCTCCTTACCCATCTATCACTCCCCACACAATCCTTAGGATGGAGGAACTGTTATTTTTATGATCCCATTTTTCCAGATGGAAACAGTGAAACTCTGAGAGACGTAAAATCCTCAATCACATAATAAAGTCTGTGTCCTCTGGATAAAGTCTGAAGTAGTCAAGATAGGGTGGTTAGAAGGGAGGTAAAATCTCCCTCTGGTAGAGACAGGAGTTCAGTAAGGAAGAGGAAGGCCTGGGGGGCACCAGCTCCCAGTTATGACCTAGGAATTTTTATCTCACAAGGGATTATCTATGTCTACATAAAATCTGTGCTCTTTTATGTCCATTTGGGAAAGACTTTAAGAGAAAATATCCTAGGCAACTAACTTGTAGTACTTCGGCGAAGGGTGAAAATATATCAAGACACAGAGCCTGACAATAAGGTTAAATGTACTCTAGAAGCCCAAAGAACCAACTCAACAGGAAACTCTCCTGTTTCCATTCCCTCTTCCTGACTGTTGTCCAATCACGAAATAAAGGGAGCATGGGCTGGACAGTGAACTGTCATTAAGGAGCCCCGTGTTGGTGACATCTGTCCCAACGAGAACAAAAGGTCTTTTATGAAAGCTTCTCACCATAATCAAGGCACAGTTGGAACTGGCGTCATATTCTCCTCAACAAAGCAAGCTCTTATTGTTCTCTTGTCAATTTCCTTCACTATGAGCAGACTAGCATGGTGACTGTTCCCTTTCCTTAAGCTGCAGTTCATTTTTCAGCATTCTTAACTTGAAAATGCATAGTTTAAAGGGTTCATGAACCTACTGGAATTGTTAAAATATTTGTCTGTGTATTCCTTTGTCTGAAAGAGGCCATAATTTTCATCATATTCACAAAGAGGTCAACAACTTCCCCACCCCTCAACGAGTATAATGAAATTATAAATAAGTTCTTTTTGAGTTGCCAGTTTTTTACTATAAGACTTGTAGAGTTGGCTTGGAGAAAAGGTCAGAAGCCACAACTGATAAAATATTTTCTCATTATCCTAAAAGAGGTCTGTTCTTGGGTCTGAAAGATATAGTTCATCTCATAGTTTAAAAGCATGAGACCTTATGCCCTGGCCAGTGTGGCTCAGCTGGTTAGAGTGTTTTCCTGTGCATTGAAGGGTTGAGGGTTCAGTTCCAGGTCAGGGCACATACCCAGGTTACGGGTTCAATCCTATTTGGGGCACGTACCAGAGGCAACCAATTGATGTTTCTCTCTCACATCAATGTTTTCTCTCTCTTCCTTCCTCTCAATGAAAAACATATCTTTGGGTGAAGATTAAAAAATAGAGCCCTGGTCAGTGAGGCTCAGTAGTTAAAGCAGTGCTTCTCGGTCAAGGGTACATGCCTGGGTTGCAGGTTTAATCCCTGGCCCTAGTTTGGGCACACGAGGGAGGCAACCATTCAATGTGTCTCTCTCACATCGATGTTTCTCTCTCTCCCCCACCCTCCCTTCTACTCTCTCTCTCTACGAATAAATAAATAAGTAAAAATAAATTAAAGCATGAGACCTTGGGATCCCGGCATATCACTGATTGATTATTTCATTTGCTAAATATTCACTGACAGTCTACTGTGTGTTAGGCACAATGCTGGGCACACCAATGAGTAGGAGAGACACAGTACTTGCCCTCCTGGACTGTACAGCCTGCTAAGTGAGAGAGACAGAGATGGACAGAGATACAGATAGAGAGAATAATTTTTTTCAGAATGGCATCTTCAAATAAAGCATATTTATTTTCATAATCAAGTAATAAACTGTTTTTCACAATAATGAAAAAGAAAAAGAATCTTAACTGAATCTATAACACAGAGCTTTGCTTACTTCGTGTGTGGTCTCTCCTGGAGGGTTAACAATATAATTAGTGTGAGATGTCTCCTCAATGCTCCTTCGTGTATACAAGCTGATCTATGGTCGTAAGATTTTATCTTAAATAGTCCATAAAAGTCTTTACTTTCTCCAGGGGAAGTAGCCAGACTTCCATCTCAGCCATTTATCATCCTCCTCTGAAACATCTATTAGTCACATTTTGATTTATAATGGGAGTGGTACTCAGAGGTTATTGAAATTCTTTTTAATGTCTGTTTTGTTGTTGTTTTGAAAATGAACTAAGCGTGTTAGGTGGACAGCCGTCCTGTAGTCGGTATTTACCATCATGGGAGGCAGCATTATATAATCCCTTTGAAGTCATCAGACTGACCTAGGTTTAAATCCCCGCTCTGGTACTGTTGGGTGAGTTACTCAACCTCTCTGAGTCTCAGTTTCTTCATGGTAATACTATCTACATTGCAGGGTTATTGTGAAAGTTTTACGTATTTTATGCAATATAAATAATTACAGATGTTGGCTACCTTCTCTGACCTACCTTTCTTCTTGTCCTGAATCAACACCTGCTTCCTCTAACTCTCCTCACTGTTCCTAGTTTTGGCATCTGAACCATTACGTTCCAGAGAAAGTATGTTCCTATCCCCAAACACTCTTCAAATATCTAAATACCTGAAGAGTAAGTGTCCTTTACTTGCTTGGAGAGTTTTTTGTTTTTTTTCCCTAATGACAACTCCAGACATAATGAAATACAGGTATTAAACAGAAAGAAAGGCTGAGTTCTAAGTTTCTG